GTGCCAAAATGTTAAAAGTTAATGAATCTTGGATCAACGTGGCTCAAGTTAACTGTTTCTAACAGCTAACTTTCCCTGTTACATGTAGAAAGGAGCACATATAGAGCACTAAACATGCTGGTGGTATCTACGTAAAGGAAAACACCCTGAAAATGTTCTCTTTTGGCAAAGGGTACTATATCTTACACAGGTAAACAACTCTTCATAGTTTCTGCACATCTTACAAACAAAGGTACTGACTGACTTTGTTCTGAATCCTCTTTTCAAGATGTTTTTTGTAACACATAGCCTCTGAACACACTATCCCCCACCAGAACAAGGGGCAGATTTGTTGACTTTCTAGTTTAACAATTTCCCCCTACATGGCAAAGGTCATACAAGTTTATTGCTCAATATAAAAGATTTGGGTTCCCAAAGCTTGAGGTTCATCTTCTGTTACAAAACTTACTCGCTACATGTATACTTATCATCTGACCCTCTTCATTTTGCCCTGTGGGAATTGAAGCTCAAGGAATCAGTGCAAATGCCAATACTCTGGCAATGCTATTGCTGTGAGTAATAAACTGCCCTTCATCTGTAACACAGAGATCTTCAGCCTCTATCTGTGAAACTGTGGCAGACTAACCTTTCACAGTTCTTGACAAGCAGCTTTGGCCTCTCCACTTAAGACTTGTCACTTCCAATCACTCTTCAAAGGGATATCATACACATAATCCAACCTGGATGAGACAACTGCCTGATATCAACATAATCAGTGTATGTACATACTTATCGATGTATAATTAGTATGCACTTCTTAAAGTTGTGCTCCTATGTTTGCAAACATTTCCTAAGGTCCACTGTTAACCTTTATCCTGTATGTTTTAATCATCTGCTAAAACAAAAAAGGTTCATGACTATGCCACTAAAAATAATTGGACCTTTACATTTTTGGTGTACGATGTATGCATTAATGACATTTGAAAGTTCTGTCAGAGGCAAATGAAACATGCTTCATTTAGGCAAATATTTTACTTCTTTGTTAAAAAATATTTATGAGCTACTCAACTTTTCCAAAAATTCTATTCATTGTCACCTACACGTTACAGTCTTCTAGCCAAGAATTTTCTTTACAGATAGGATAAATTATTCTCATAACAGTGCTTTTGATATCATGAAGTCAATAAATCTATTGCTCTTCATTATACAATTTGAGCTCTCCTACATTACCAAAAAAGGTCATTATAAATTAAAATAATTCTAAATGGAGCTGTTAACTCATGTTAATGAACAAATAAAGAAACCATATGATGCCCTAGAAATATAGATGATATATATCAAAGAAGTCAAAATCTCCCAAATTCAAATCACTTAACATGAATGAGGATTCAAAATTAATTTTTAATAATTGTATTTAATTAAGGAAAGTGACTAAAAACAACTCTTGTCAATTTCCTTTGACTATCACTTAACAATTTCTTGTAAGTATATCTTCAGAGAATATGAACAAATTAATTATCTTTAGTCAGTGAATGAAAATGTCATCATAAATAAGCAAATGTATTTACACACATACAAATACACAAATAAACACACATATATTCATATAAAGTACAGATATATAAATATACACACACATGCATGCTTAACCATCCATGGCATAGCACCAATTCTTTCATAATGAAAAATCCCCTCCTGAGAGGTTCTCAAATAACAAGAGAGTCTAAAATTCTCAATGTTTCATAATAAAATAATGATAAAGACAATTTATTCCAGCAACTATAGAATGTATTACTATTATAAAGTCAGTTTACTTAAACAATAAATTCAGGGGGGGAATTATTTTTAAGATCTCATCACATAGTCTGATGCTTTGATTTAAATGAAGAACATATACAATCTACCACTTACTAAGCACATACTATGTTCCAGACACTGCACTAAGCTCTCTACCTATATACATATGAATGAATACATGTACATATATATATATATATATATATATATATATATATATATATACACACACACATATATGAGGAGCTCTGGTGGTGTAATGCCTAAGGCATTTGATTGCTAACCAGAGGCTGATGGTTCAAACCCACCAGCCACTCCTCAGGAGGAAGACTGGGCAATCTACTTTCGTACTGAGTTGCTCTCATGTGCCATTGAGTTGGACCCAATTCATAACGACCCCTCCTTGGGTTTCCAAGGCAGTATCACTACATAAGTAGATTGCCCAACCTTCCTTCCAAGGAGTGGCTGGTGGGTTTGAACCGCCAGCCTCTGGTTAGCACTCTAGTGCCTTAGGCACTCACCTCGGAAACCCAAGGAGGGGTTGCTATGAGTCGGATCCGACTCAATGGCAGTGAGTTTGGGTTTTTTTGTTTGTTTGTTTTATTTTTCTTGGTATACTCATATACACATATGCACAGAGATATGTATACACAGAAAATATATATATACACATATATAAAATACATATTTATTTATCTGTTCATTTACTTATCATATATACATAAGGAGCTCTGGTGGTGCAGTGCCTAAGGCATCTGACTGCTAACCAGAAGGTTGGTGATTCAAACCCACCAGCCATGCCAAGGTAGGAAGATGAAGCAATCTACTTTGGTAAAGATTTACAGCCTTGGAAACCCAGTAGGGACTGCTATGAGTTGGAATCAACTCGATGGCAGTGAGTTTATTTAATCTCAAGAAATACTGTAAGATGTAGGTATTTGTATTCTAAAACAAGGAAACTAAATTTCAGGCAGGTTAAATGGTTTGTCCAAGAGCATACAATGAGAAAGTGTCATAACTATTATTTCCTTAAAAGCAACTTATGTCCATCTTTGATTCTAAGCTCAACTTCAGTCTGGATTTTCCAAAAATATATACCATTCATGCCAAGTTAACCATTCTGGTCAATGTGTCAGTAATATCGATCTTGGTAAATTAGGTTCTGTTACACTTTTCCATATTATCATGTCAGTTTTTTTTTACTGGCATCAGGTTCTAAAGGTAGCAAGGAAGAAACAAACCATAGACAGTAAAAATAACCCCAAAAACAGACCCTAGAAAAGTACTGCATTGGTGACCAACCACTTCTCAGTAGTTCCAATATAAATTTTCTTTCCAGCATTGGAAGAGACTGAGTACCAGATACAAGAACTGGCCTACATTTCAGAGGTAGACATGGTCATTGAGGAAATTCGTATCTTTAACTGTTTAAATTGTTATTCTGTTCTTGTCTTTAAAATAAGAAGGGCTATTATATATTAGCAATAGGTTCAATTGTTTGACAAGGAAAAAAAAATCAGTTTTGGAGGACATCCTTTATTAATCCTCAAAATTTCCCCTACCTTTCTGGGGGCATGGTACCTAAGGCATCTGACTGCTAACCAGAAGGCTGGTGGTTCCAACCCACCAGCCATTCCTCAGAAGGAAGACTGGGCATTCTACTTGGGTAGAGATACTGCCTCGGAAACCCAAGGAGGGGTGGTCACTAGGAGTTGGATCAAACTCGGCAGCAGTGAGTTTGGTTTTCTGGGTATATTTTTTTTCATTTTAAAATATCTTATTATAAGTTTTAATAGAAATAGATGTTAACAAATGTTTTCACATGTTAAAATTGCCTTACACTTGGATATGCTACGAACATGTACATTTTTTAGATATTATTTCTTTTAACTGAAAGTTCGTGTGGTCATAGTGATCTTTCTGGACAACGAAACATCACAATTGCCATCAAGCTTCTCATTCAAAAAAAAAAAAAAGGCTACTTTTCAATATCTTACCTTTCTCATGAATAACTAAGATACCTAAAATTCTTGCAAAGTGGCATACAAATACAAATGCTAGGAAATGTATAATTAATTTATATTTGTAAACAAAACTTTAACAGTTCTGACTCTTAGTGACCTCTCCTTGGGTTTCCGAGGCAGTATCTCTACCGAAGTAGATTGCCCAATCTTCGTTCTAAGGAGTGGTTCGTGGGTTTGAACCACCAGCCTTCTGTTTAGCAGTCAAATGCCCTAGGCACTATGCTACCAGAGCTCCTAAATAAAATTTTAATTTAACAGCAGTCTTTCTCTAACCTCTTATCAGAACTTTAAGAATTTTATATGGGCTGCCTTCATGAAATTCTTAAAGAGAAAGAGAACCAGAATTACTGTGCATGTGAGGCTGTTTTCCTTTTTCACTCTCTCTAACCAGCTATTAAGAAAGTAGAGGTAATACTTTAACCCTGATTCAGATTTTGAGCCATATGTGGGTGTGTAACTTCATTAGGTAAAAATAACTATCTTAAAATACATAAATAATATATTCTTACAACACTTGAGTCACATTTCCAAAACAAGTTTTTTTTTTGCTAATGCTGCTAGATCAACTATCCATGGTAATGATGGATAACTGAAATTCATAAATAACTTTATAACTACGTTAAATAATTTAGTAACACAATTGAGATTTTCGCACTTACACAATGAGTTTAACATAAAAAAATACAGCTTTTTTAAAAAATGTGTAAATTAACAATAGAGAATAACTTCAAAAGACATTCTTAATATGCTCTGTTGCTTCTTGAAATGGACAACGTCAGGGGTAGAGTAATGTTTATTAAGGAACAAAATTCCTGAAGATTTACTAATTCGGAATGGTATATCTACATCCATCACACGTCTTTTAGTGACATATGATACCCTAAGCTCAGCCTCCAGCTTAAGGTTGAAAGCGCCTGAGATCTGAAAGGGGTGATGATCTAAGACGCAGAGACTTTTTTTCTTTTAGGTAAGCACCCTAATAACCTCACGTCGGAGGCTGGGGTATAATCACACCTGGCTAAGCTTGGGGCGCTAACAGGAGAAAGCTCTCCCTAGAGCTTTACTCCTACCCCTTGGCCGCCGCCGCCCACGCCCCGCGACCCGGCTGCCTAGCAACGCAGCCGCGCTACCTAGCAACGTGGCCCGCCCAGGCCCACCCAGCCCCAAATCACAAGGAAAGGCCAAGGGCCTTGATTCTACCTCCTTTTTCTTTTGTCCTCCTCCGAGCTGTATGCAAAGGAGGAGCAAAAGGAGGAGGAAGGGAAAGCTCCCGGTGGGCAGGTACCGCAGCCGCCGTCCCGCCAGCCTCCGGCGTGAAGGAGCGCCCCTGGCCCCCATCGCCGTAGGGCAGTGTCTCCTCCACGCACGATAACCGTGGGCGCCCAGCTCCTACCGGCGTCCTACACCTGCCGGACCCGTCACCAGAGCCCTCTACCTGGGCCCTCTGGAGTAGCAGCTGCTTCACAAGGAACACGGGTGGCTATCAAAGTCACGGAGGAAGAAACTGACAGAGCATCCGGTTCACGGGAAGAGGGTCCTGGAAAAGCCCAGGATGGGGCAGGAAGTGGGCGTGGCCACGGAGCCTGGTTGCTGGCGCGCTGAGGTCTATCCTGGTGCTTATCTCTACGACTGGGCTGGTGTGGCTCTCCTGGCGTAGTACCTAAGGCATTTGACTGCTAATCAGAAGACTGGCGGTTCAAACCCACCAGTTACTCCTCAGAAGGAAGGTTGAGCAATCTACTTGCGTAGAGGTATGCCTGGAAACCCAAGGATGGTGTTGCTATGACTCGGAAATGACTCCAGAGCAATGAGCTGGTGTGCATGTGGGTTCTCTGGCTTCTGACCTAAACCTATGGCTATTTAGTGTTGGATCGCAAGGTAAGCATGAGCTTACTTGTGCATACTTAACCAATCTGTGATGAACAGTTTCACATTTTCTCATGACATCAAAGACTCTGCTTTTAGGTATGGCTGGCTTCTGTCGCCTTCCCAATCCCAGACCTTGTTGTTGTTGTGTGCTGTGGAGTCGGCCCCGACTCACAGCGACCCCTCCTTGGGTTTCCGAGGCAGTATCACTGCGAAAGTAAATTGCCCAACCTTCCTTTCCAGGAGTGGCTGGTGGGTTTGAACCGCCAGCCTTCTGGTTAGCAATCAAATGCCTTAAGCACTATGCTACCAGCACATCTTCCTGTAAGATCAAAGCCTCTAAATTTACAATCCCTGACAGGGAAGGAGTACCCAGAAAGCAAGACCAAAGATGTGGTGACACCCATATGAAATTGTTCAAACAGATTAGTAAGTATGCAAAAGTAAGCCTGCCCTTCCTTGTATTTTAGGTATTCCCCCTTCCTAAAATCAATACTCAAAAATGCACAACCATCTGGGGGATTCTGACTTCTAATGACCCTGTGGAATGGAGTAGATAGAACTGCACAACAGAGTTTCCTGGCCTGTGAATCTTTATGGAAGCATACTGCCTCATCTTTCTTCCACTGAGGGCTGGTGGCTTCCAATTGCAGATCTATTGGTTAACAGCCAGTGCTTTAACCACTGCACCAGCAGAACTCCTCAAAATATTAGTTGTTGGTGGGCACTGTGAGTCAGCTCTCAGAAGTATCTTAAAAATCCACACCCACTAGTCACCTCTGACTCATAGTGACCCTGTGGGTTTTTTCTTTACAGAAGTAGATTGCAAAGTCCTTTCCTCCCTGCAGGGAGGCTGGTGTGTTCGACCTCCCACTTTTTTGCTTACCATTTTAACCTGTGCCACCAGGGCTCCTTACCTAGAGCTTGACTGTTGTTGTTATTGGATGCCTTCTTGTCAGTTATGATTCACAGTAACCCCATGTAAAAAAAAAAAAAAACATTGACCCAGCCTGTGTCATCCTCACAATAGCTGCCATGCTTGAGCCCATCTTCTCAGGCACTATGTCAATACATCCCATTGGAGTTCTTCCCCTTTTTGGCTGACCTCTACTTTACCTAGCATGACATGCTCCTCTATGGACAAGTCCCTTCTAACAGCATGGCCAAAGTACATGAGACAAAGTCTGTTCATTCTCAGTTCTAAGGGGCATTCTTGGCTGTACTTCTTACAAGACATATTTGTTCCTTTTGGCAGTCCATGGGACGTTGAGTATTTTTTTGTCAACACCACTATTAATGTGCACCAGTTTTTCTACCCTTTTCCTTCTTCATTGTTCATCTCTCACATAGATTTGAGGCTACTGAAAATACCGACTTAGGTTAGGCACACCTTACTCTTCAAAGTGACATCTTTGATCATTAACACTTTAAAGAGGTCTTTTGCAGCAGATTTGCCCAATGCAATAGATCACTTAATTTGTTGACTGCTGCTTCCACTGGAGAAGCTCTGGTAGCATAGTGCCTAAGGCATTTGACTGCTCACCAGAAGGCTGGTGGTTCAAACCCACCAGCCATTCCTCAGAAGGCAGGTTGGGCAATCTACCTCTATAGTGATACTGCCTCCGAGGGGTCGCTTTGAGTCAGATACAACTCTATAGCATTGAGTTTGGTTTTTTGGTTTGGTTTTGCTTCCATGGGTGTTGATTGTGGATCCAACTAAAATGAAATCCTTAACTACTTCAGCTTTTGTCCTTGTATCATGATGTTGCTTATTGATCCAGTTGTGAGCCTTTTTGTTTGTTTTTATAAACCAAACCAAACTCACTGCTGTCGAGTTGGATCCCACTCACGGTGACCCCCTCCTTGGGTTTCCAAGATGGTATCACTACAGAAGTAGATTGCCTAACCTTCCTTCTGACTATTTTCTTTATACCAAGGTGTAATCCATACTGAAGACTGTAGTCTTCAACTATCATCAGTAAGTGCTTCAAGTCTTCTTCATTTTAAGCAAGCAAAGTTGTGTCATCTACATATCACAGGTTGCTAATGAGCCTGCCTTCATCCTACCTCATTCTTCATATAGTCCAGCTTTTAGGACTATTTGCTGAACATATAGATTGAATAAGTAATGGTGAAATAATATAACCTGATGCACACCTTTCCTGATTTTTCAACTGTAGAGTATCACCTTGTTCTGTTCAAACAACAGGTTCTTCATGAACACGATTAAGTGTTCTAGACTTCCCATTCTTCCCAGGGTTATCCATAATTTGTTATGATCCACACAGTCGAATGCCTTTGTTCAATCAGTAAAACACAGGTAAACATCTTTCTGGTATTCTGTGCTTTCAGCCAAGATCAATCTGACATCAAAAAAGATATCCCTAGTTACACATCCTCTTCTGAATGGGGCTTGAATTTCTGACATCTCCCTGTCTATGTACTGCTACGACCATTTTTTCATTATCTTCAGCAAAATTTTATTTTCATGTGGCACTGATAGTGTTCGATAATTTCCACATTCTCTTGGATCACTTTTTTTTTTTTTTTTTTTTTTGAATGGGCCAAAATAGGGATCTTTTCACCTCTCTTGACCTGGTAGCTGTCTTCCAAATTTCTTGACCTAAACAAGTGAGCAAGTGAGATCCTTCATCGCTGCATCTGTTTCTTAAAACATCTCAATGGGTATTCTGTCAATTCCTAGAACCTTGCTTTTTGCCAATGCTGTCAGTGCAGTTTGGACTTCGTACTACAATACCATGGGTATTTGATCATATGCTACCTCCTGAAATGGTTGAACATGACCTTTTTTTTTTTTAATATGTGACTCTGTGTATTCCCTCCAACTTCTTTTAATGCTTCCTGCTTTTTCAATATTTTGCACTGGAATACCATCTTGGAAGACGGGGAAAACTATGAGGTATAAATAAAGACCATTGGAACATTTTTAGCAACACAATTTTGTCCTCTAAAAGGCTCTAACATTGACCCCTAGAGGCTCCTGGATACTCAGAGGCCACCCTATAACCTCATAGTTATTCTTTTCAGACCCAAATGGGGTGCCTGAGGAGACAACCAAAGCAATTCTTAGTTCATTAAGCATACATTGAGTAAGAGAGCATTGTACTAGGCACTCTGAATGCAAAAATGAATAGGATTTAATTTAGTCTCTACTCTCCGAAAGCCTATATTTTAACAGTAGACTATTTATTGACCAGGAGCTCTGAAAGCATAGTACCTAAGGCACTTGACTGCTAACCAGAAGGCTGGAGGTTCAAACCCACCAGCCACTCCTCGAAAGGAAGGTTGGGCAATCTACTTCCATAGTGATAACCACCTCAGAAATCGAAGGAGGAATTGCTATGAGTCAGGTCCAACTCATTGGCACGTACCAACAACAACATTTATTCACCATTTCATATGGGCCAGAATGTGGTACTTCCGATGTACCCTCTTATACCTCTACCTCAAGGTTTCTTCCTCTTTGTACCATGAACACCTTTGATAGTCTGATGAAGCCTAACAGTCCCTCCTTAGAATAGTGTTTCTAAATGCATAAAAATAAATACATCAGATTACATTATATAAATTATATTTAAAAAATCAGTTTAATTAAATGGCATAAAAAAGAATTCACCTAATTTCATATGGTGGTCAAGGAACAGTTGTATTTTAGGAATACTAAAAAAAAAAAAAAAGATGTCAGAATCAAGGTATGAATATCTATCTTCACAGTGTAATTATGATTGATCAGGAGACACAGAATTGTACAGTTTTTTGGCCATCCAAGTGACATTAAGTTTCTGGAAAAATTCTGGCATCACTTGGAATCCAGCAGCACATCTATCAGTTCTAATAAATACGGTAATTTTAAATACTAGGGATTATAAACAATATTTCAAGATATCTGCAACAACCGTGCTATGATATGAATATATCTGGTGGAACAAGAGTTAAAGCACTCAACTGTTAACTAGAATGTTGGCAGTTCAAACCCACCCAGTAGCTCTGCTAGAGAAAAGACCCGGTGATCTTCTCCACTATGATTACAGCCTAGAAAAGCCTATAGGGTAGTTGTAAACAATAAAAAGACAAATGATCCAATTAAAAAATGGCAGAAGGCATGAATAGATACTTCAGCAAAGAGGATATTCAGGCAGCCAACAAACACATGAAGAAATGTTCACAATCGTTAGCCATTAGAGAGATGCAAATGAAAACAACAATAAGATACCATCTTGTCCCAGCACTAATAGCAAAGGTCAGCAAGACAGAAAATAACAAATGCTGGTGAGGATATGGAGAGATTGGGACTCTCATACACTGCTGACTAGGCTGTAAAATGATACAACTATTGTGGAAAACAGGATGGCAATTCCTTAAAAAGTTAGAATTAGAAACACCATCTAATCCATCAATCCCAGTACTAGGTATATATTGTAAAGAAGTGAGAGCCAGGACAAGAACAGATATACGTACACTCATCTTCATAGCAGTACTATTTTCAACAGCAAAAATGAAAACAACCTAGGTGCCCATCAACAGAAGAATGGATAACCAAACTATTGTATATACACACAATAGAATGCTACACAACACTAAAGAATAATGTGGAATCTGCAAAACATGGATGAACGTGAAGGACATCATGCTGAATGAAGTAAGTCAATTACAGGACAAACA